TAGTAAGCTCTCTGTCCCTAGCCTCTGTTACCTAGGTCATTGTATGTTTCCGAAGAAGGTTAGAAGAAACATTGAACCTGATAAAATTAAAATTAATTAACTGCATCAAACAGAGCCTGACTAACTTTCAACCCTTGCCGACCATGCCTACATCAGGACATTCAGGTTTGTTCTAATCAGCAGGTCTCTCTAGACAAACAGCAGTAGTAACAACATTCAATCTTTTGTTATGAATCATGTTGATTATGAACTTACTTCTCATTTTAAGTGACAAAATGAGACAAAAAAAATCAGCATAAAGCTAACTGTTAGTAAAACATAAATGTTGGTCATATTCTTTCAAATATGACCAATTATTATAAGTGTAAAGTATTTAATGCTACTTGATAAATTGCGTAAAGTTTATTTTATTCTCAAACTTATTAATAATTATGTTCATTAATTCATGTTTAATAATAATGCATTTTACTTAGGGATCTATTTTATTTTTAGGATGGTTTTACAAAGTGAAATTCAGGCATAGATAAATTTTTATTAATTTATTCTTATAGGTCCTTAATTTTTTTCAATATGGTCCATTTTAAAAGTTTTTTTAATTTTCGTGTGCAGAAAGTGCGTATGAGCCCTGAGAATGCGTATGAATCCCTAGACACACAAAAACATCATCCTAAATGATAGAAAAGAGGTGACTTCACAGGTAGAACTTTAGCACTATGACTAATTGGGATGGTCACTTTACCCAACTATTGGGAATGGGTCTTCAAACCTTACTCTGTAAACACCGATAGTATCCTGCCACCTTCTTTGGCAGAAGTTAGAGAAGGAACTATAAAGCTCAAAAATAACAAGGCCCTTGATTACTTCAGAACTTATTAAAAGTGCTGCAAGTCAAAAAAATGAGGAAATGCATCACCTCATCGAATCAATTTAGAACCAAGAAGTTTGTTCAAAGATTGGAAACTGAGCACCATCTATCTTATAGACAAAAAAGGAGACATTTTGGAATGTACCAAGTACAGGGCTGCAGCCAGCAAAATGCATCTCAACCAAATTGAAACTAAATACATGCCATGTGTTAATAACAGCAGCCCCTATTTTGAAATTGGGAATTACAAATTTGAAACTGTTAGCAAATTTAAATATTTAGGATCAGAGGTTAATACTCTTAATGATTTAATGCCTGAGATCCATATTAGAGTCGCAGATGCTAACCGTTGTTTTTTTTGGTCTAAAAAAATGCTTGAAGTCTAACTTCCCTAGCAGAAAAACGAAAAATTTTAATTTACAAATGCTTAATCAGACTCATTCTTACATACTCTGCTAAAACCTGGGCAATGACAGAAAAAGCTAAAAGTATCATTTCTGTCTTTGAAAGAAAAATTTTGAGAAGTATTTTTTGTGGTATAAAATGTAACAATATCTGGAGAAGAAGAACTAACTCTGAACTCTATAAATCTCTTAAAGAAATAGATATAGTAAAATATATAAGGATTCAAAGAATTAAATGGGCAAGACACCTGTGCAGAATGGATGAAAATGGAGTAACGAAAAAGGTCTTCTCGGCCATACAATTTGGCACCCGAAAAAGAGGGAGACCTAAACTTAAGTGGCTCGACTGTTTGGAAACAGACTTAAGAATTTTAAAAATGACCTATTGAATGTCCATGTCCAGGGATAGAAGAGTTTGGAATTCGATTTTGAGGAAGGCAAGGGCCCATCATCGAAGAAGAAGAAGAAGGATCAATTATTGATCTTAAACACTCTGGCTGCCTTTCAACAAGTCATTCAAAACAAAACATCGAAGCAGTTCGTGAGTGGATTGATGAGAGTCGAGGAATGTCAATTTGGCACTGTGATCAGGAATTGGGCATTTCAGAGGCTTCGTACAACATATTCTCATAAAATATTTACATATCCATGCTTACAAAGTTCAGTTGACTTGAGAACTGAGCCTACTGATTCCACACTGCAAAGAGAGTTCGATGGAACACAACAAGTGGATGATGATTTTTCAAACAAAATCATCTTCACCAATGAGGCTCATTTTAGATTTTTGGTTTGGCTAATTGGCAAAATTGTCAGACTTGGGGTTCAGAAAATATATAAGTAATTGTTGAGAAACAAATGCGAGCACAATAAATCTATCACTGTTTAGTGTGGAGTTTTGGCTGGAGGCATCATCAGACCATTCTTCGAAAATGCGGCTGGTCAGCCAATAACAGTTAATGATGATCGCTTTTGCGATATGATAATTCAGTTTTTTATGCAGAAATTGCAAGCTATGGATGTGGATGACATTTGGTTTCATCAGGATGTGCTACATGCCGTACAGTCTAGAAACAATTCAATTAGGGCTTGAGTAATTTCCTGGTAATGTAATTTCCCATTTTGGTGATCAGAATTGGCCACCCAGATCATGCGTTTAATGCCATTGGACTTCTTTCTTTGGTGTTTTTTGAAGGCTTGAGGTTTATGCCAACAAGCTCTTGAAGGAAGAAATTGAGTGCTGCATCAATGAAATTCAGCCACATTTATGCAAAATTTTCATGGAAAATTTCAACAAAAGAGTGTGTATGTTCCAGCAAAGCTGTGGAGGCGATTTACCTGATATGTTATTTCACACATAACCCTATACTGTATACTTTGAGTCGACAATTTATAGTTTTTAATTATAAACCTTTGTGTGAATTTTGGGACATCCGTTGCCTTTCTTCCATTTGAGCACTGTGCAGATGTAAGGGATGTGTGCGAATTTCCCAACAAAGTTTTATATTGTATAGGCTGGAAAAAGATAATTTCCAAAGAGAGGTGGTGGTGCATTTAATTATGGCAAAGCACACTAGGACTGTCTGCCTTAGGGGAGGACTTTCAAAGGGTAACTGGCTTGTATACACATTACACATGGGAAAACCACGAAAATGCCCATGCAGCCAGCCCGTTCGCGAGATTCGAACCTCTGACTGAACTACCAGTGTTCAGCGACTTTACCGCTCGGCCGCTGGTGGACCCATTCCAAAGAGAGGTGACAGAGGTTTCTCATCTCAGAGTACTGATCAAGCAGCTGAGAAAATTTGCATCTCAGTGCAAGGAAAAATATTCTTTCATTTAAAACGATTATAAGAGTTCAGTAAATATTCCTTTCTTTCTATCAGTTTTAATTGCACATATTTTACATAAGTTTAACTGTTGTGTGTAGGTTCAATATTTAAAGATTCTATTCCGAAAGGGCTGTTCCTTGCCAGTTTGCCTTAACATAATGCATTTCTGAAATGAGAAAAAGCTTAAAATTTGAAAATAAGCTTAAGAATATATATTCTGAAGAAACTCATAAATCCTACATTGCTAAAGTCATTTTCCATTTCTCTGCAGACAGAATTACTTGAAAACAATCTTCCATTAGCAAATTAGATTTCGTAGAGGTCTTTCACAAAATTCTCTTGCTTCTGATTACTGATCATAGTTCAAATTCCTTTTTACTGTTGGATTTCTGTAGAATCTATGAATTTTTCCATGTTACTGTTGTTGAAGCTCTGTTCTTTTTCATCATTTTCATTCCTGCTGCTGAAGAGAAAGATTCTTTTCAACCTTTAACCCTCTGGCTGATCATCCCGCGATTTCCATGGGCAAACTCAAATGTAGCAAAATTTGCTTATCCTGCGATTTCCGCGGACATGTTTTTCTTCTTTTATTGAGGAGCACATCCCATTTTTCCCCTGTTTAACCACTGCAATAAATTATATACGGTATTAGGTGTTTAGTTTACGTTTTTGGGCAACAGATATCATTAGTTGTCCACTAAATTACGGCATTTGAAGGGCCGTGGTATTAACGCTCAAACTTCACTTTTTGCCGCTTTTTTCTAAGAAAAATGGCTGCTAGAAAACGTTCAGCGATTATCTTAATTATTTAATTAAATTATTGAATTATTAATTAGATTAATAATTAGATTGATTATTAATTAGATTTATTGATTCTGGTGCAAAAAACTGTGAAGTTGGACTTTGCCTTGAAACCCTGTTTTGAACTTATCATACTAAACTGCATTTCTAAGTATTTTTCCTCAGCGCTTTATATTTACTTAAATTTTATACATTTTGCTTTTTATTATTATGCAATAAATAGAATTAACTGTAATTCGACTGAATTTATTTAAAAAAGATTTTTTTGTGATAACATCTGAAATTGTTTTTTCTGGCAACTAGTTCCCATGATAAAAAATCTATAAAAAAATATTTTCTAGAAAAGAAAAAGTGCGTAGATTTGCAAATTTACTCATGTTAATTCTATTGCTTGTTTCTTTAACAATAAGTTTCACAGGTATGATTTGAATTATTGTTTTTTTTTTAATTTAATGTATATTTGTAATAGTATAAAAATTTTTATGTACAGATTTTGCCAAATTCTCAAATAATTCCAGTTATTTGAGACACATGGACTTGTACCAGCTTATTCCAATTAGACACCTTATTAATATCAAAGAAACTAAATATATTTAAAACTAATTTACATGTGTAATGAAATGTAAAAAATTTACATTTTAATAAATTGATCTAACTTCAAGAGTATGAACTTTTTTGTTTTGTTTATTTATGAAATTTTAGAACTACAGACAGCAGTTTTGGGCCTATGAAGAGCATCTGAAGTAAAAAAGCAACTAGCGGACTTGAGATAATAAAATTTCCTAAAAATCGTGAATAATTTTTGTATACTGAATGTACTTTTGAAAAAATTAATATTTATAAAACTTTAATTTCCTAAAATGCACTTCACAATTTAAAAGTTGTTCTGTAAATAAAGATTTTTATTTTCAAGAATTCATTGCGGACATGATTATGTATAAGCTTTTAACAATTTAAAATAGCCTTTTTTCCAATCCCGTCTTCTGTACTATGAACTTTTATTGGGTTAGGCTTATATTACACCTAAGTAAATATGTTTATTATCTCATGAATTAAATATTAGCTAATCTTCATTGTTGAAAATGAAATTTATAATTTTAGATAAAAAAATATCAAGAAGCTATTTGCCAGAGAGATGCCATTATTCAGCAACTATCACGTAGATTAGAGTCAGCTATGAATATGAACCAAGCTAAAGAATCAGCTGGAAATCAAGAGGTGCAGAATTTAAAAGAAGAAATTAATATGTTACATTTACAAATGAAAGAGGTTTGTTTTTTCATATGTAACATTAACTATCTTATTTCTAGTGTTACAAAAATACCAGTTTTGCTATTAAATTGAAGTGTTGTGATCAGCTTGTTATCACACCATTCCCAATCAGTTTATGTGTTCAGTTTTCAACACTACTTCCAATCATTTAACCTGATGTAAAATTAAAATGCCTGAGTATCATTTAATACAGATGGTAATAATGCAATATTTATAGATGCAAAGCATATTTGTTATTATTTTTATTTGTATTTTGATTTTTAGTGTTTTGAGTTAATTTTTTCGTGCTTACATGTATTCCTTTAATTTTTAAAAATGAAACAAAAAACTTTTTTGACACATTAAATTTATTTAAAGTTTACAGATTGTAATTTTTTATAATTTCATTTGAGAAATAATCATTATTAATCTTTAAAGAAAGTATCCTTTTTATTGGCTTTAATGCTTTATTAATATTTGTAGCTATTCTTTTATTTAATTTGATTGGTACGAATTGCATTTTGTATCAAATTTAGTGACATGTATGGTTTCATTATAATTTGATATTGGAGTTTTATTGATTTCTGTGTTTTCATAGGCAGCTGAATTGTTAGAAAAACAAAAATCCAAAAATGAAATGCAAGCTAATATTCAGGTATGTAATTATCAACTAAAATTTTAATATGCTAAGCCTTTACTATTTTTTATTTGACTTTTAAGAAGATAAACTACTTTTAATTTGGCTGGAAAAAAATTCTCTATTGAAGATATTACATCTTCCTTTTTATATCATACAATTTGATCTTTATTTTTCATAAACTGCTTTTAATAAGTAATTTCTTTTGTAAATCAGCTGTACCTGTAAATGAAGTTAAGTTTTGCCCAGTGGCAATTATTTCATAGCATGCTTATGTTTGGTATTGAAAATTTCCTTCCAGTAGTCATAATTAACATTAAAAGGACATGTTTAATTAAGTAATAAATTCATGCATTTTTCTTTAATAAATTTTTGTTTCAGAATTTGCTTAATTTTGTTTGAAGTTCTTATTTTCTATGAAAGTCTGAAATCATCATTTGATCTGAAAGTCATAGAACATATCAATTTTGATATGATATATTTCGTTTCATTCATTATAATTCATATTTATTTTGTTCGTGATAATTTAATTTTGAAACTTATGCCGGATGTTAAAACGACGGATGGCATTTGTTCCAGGCTGCTCAGCAAATTAGACATTTAATTAGCAGCATGACTAAAAATGGTCTAGTAGTCTAGTATGGAGTCAAAGGCATATTAGAGAAAAGTAAGTCAAAATGTGCCAATGTAGCATCGAGAATACATAGTATATATGTAAAGGGAAAAGTACCAAAATTTCATCACACATGCCAGAAAAATATTTTACTATTACTAATAGAATGAAAGTTTTAAATGTATCTGCTTTTTGACAAATCGTGCCTTTTTTTTCAAATGTTGTTGTATTTGCACAGAAATATCTTTTTTTTTCTGTTATTTAATTAATTTCAACATGCTGATTATTACTGGTGCTTTTTGATTACTTGATTCTGATTATATGTCATCTCCATGAAAAGTCACCATTCATTGCCACCTATCTGATCTGGTGGAAAAGATCTATTATCTGTGCACTCATATACATATGTGGTGTCACATGTGTTAGTTATTTATTATGCCATATGTACTAAAAAAGTATGCCCAAATTAGGTAATTTTACTGAAAGTTGAAACTGCAGGTGCAGATAATCAGAAAATGCTTTAATATTTTCTAGTTTGAAATTTATTTTAAGCAGTATATTTTAAGCATTGGAGCTCTGTAGTATGTTAGCTAGAATGCCCACCTTATGTTTAGCATATTTGTGTAGTTTGGACTACAATGGACTCTCAAACTTTTGTGGATCAAAGTTCATAAAATCAATCAAGAGAGTTTGTTTCCATTTTTATTTCTTATTTGCTTTGTAGCTACACTTATGCATGTTTAGCATATTTGTGTAGTTTGGACTACAATGGACTCTCAAACTTTTGTGGATCAAAGTTCATAAAATCAAGAGAGTTTGTTTTCATTTTTATTTCTTATTTGCTTTGTAGCTACACTTATGCTAGATTCCATGGAAATCTCACAGAGCTTATCTTTTACTTTTTATATTTTTAGTTTTAGTTCCATTAGGTTTTAAATTATACAAACCATATATTGTTCTTTTATTCGGCAAAAAGTCTACCAAGTGATAAGATGCTTTAAGAAATTCCTGCAGAGATGTAAAAATGTCAAGTATGGATTATTTTACTGCACAGGTGCCATTATGTTCTTTACCAAGGGTATTATCTGCTAATACAATGACATTTTAAGCAAAAACAGGTTCCTTTGTTATTTGTTACTTTTACATACAATGTTAGGTTTTTATTGTTGGGGCAAATTCATGTTCTATTTTTGAGCTCCAAAGGTGTGAGAAATTTGAAAATTCGACCAGTTCTGAAAATTTCTTTCATTATAAATTTTGGCATTCCAAGAGAAACAGTGAAAAATAACAGAGAGCCTGAGGTCATAAAAAAGGGAGATTTTGTACTTTTAGTTCATAAAAAAAGAGAGCAGAAATTAATTAACAATGATTGTGATTTTTTGTAACTAACATGAAGGTTTTTAAAAATGATCAGTTCATAAATTGAAGATATGTAAAAATGTAAGTTAATTGTATAAGACTTCTGTTTCTTGCATGCTGTATATTTTCCTTCTTTTTTACTGCTTCATTTATCACTGAAAATAATTTTTATATTAATTATTTGCATGATTTATTATATTATAGAATGTTGAAGATTTATCCTCAAGTAGCTGTATTTCAAAATTTGAATTAGGAGTACAAGTAGACGCAAAAGAAATTTCTTCATTGCAATCATTTGACTTTAAGAACACTAGTTTATTCAATGATATTCTTTCAAGTGATTCGACAAGTGATGACTCATCATTCTTTGTAATTCAGAAAGTAAGTGAATGTTTACAAGATAAGATTTCTCATGTACAGCTTCAAGAATTAGTAAAATTAATCAAAGAAAGACTAGATCTCTTTGAAGCACCTCATCATGCTAAAAGCAATAATGACAATGATTTAGTTACAGATGGACAAGGGAAAGGTTTTAATTCTTCTAATGAAGCAATGTCTACTCTATTAAAAAGGATAATTTCTTTAAATATTGTTGCAAAATTGATAGAATCTCTAATTAGTATAGCTCCTGTCTCTACAAATGCAAGTGCTACAGACTTTTCTCCTAGCAAGTTTCAGAGTTTCTTTCTAAAGCGTTTAAATTCATCTGAAACAGATGACTTGATACCAAATATATCTGAAAATGAAAGTGTTCCATCTGATATCAACTATGCTGAAGTAGAAACACCTTGTAGAATTCCTTTTTCTGGCAATCAGTCCATTAAGTCATCTATTGAAAAACTTCGAAATAAAGATATTTCCGAAGATATCAATCTTGTGACAGAGTTTTTGGCAGATGAAATGGAAAAAATATCTGAATCTGTATCAGTTTTTAAACTTGGAGCACAAGGAGATAGTATGCTTCAATGTAAAGAAGGAGAAGTATCTGGTTTGCAAGAAGTGGTAGGCACATCTGAGGTAAAAACTGGACATGAACGTGATTATGAAAGCATTTTACGCCAAAAAGCAAAATTACAAATTCGTATCAAGAACTTAAAGCAATTGGTAAGTTCTTTGTTAGCATTTAAAATGAAATATTTGTATTTATTGATATAAATTTTTGTTTTAAATCTTAAGTTTTTTTTTAATATTTAAAAATAGAGTAATACAGTCTTTAATCCAGACTCGTAGGGACTTCGGCGATTCCGGATTATCGGTTTTTCCGGATTATAGATCATCAATTTAAATCTGGTAATATGGCATGCAGAAATTATAAAATTAGAAATATGAAACTGTAATTTATGAAATAAAGAGTAATTATGATCTAAAGGGTATCAAAATTTAAAAAAAAAAAAAAAAAAAGCTTAATATTTATTTGTTTACTTTATTAAACATTTCTTTCAACGTGCACATGCGTAAAGCATACATTATGCAGAGTCAAAGTTAGAAAATAGCAACCAGAAAACTATTTGATGTGTATTCGTATATTGATAATGACGAGGAATTTGATTTAAATCATATCAAAGAAGGAGTACATCAAGATGAAATACTACATTTAGTAAGGAATTATAAGCCGAATAAAATAAAAACATCTGCCCTGAAGATAAGGATAGTGCTGACAGATCAACTTCCAGTTCATTGCGCACCGCGACATCCCCCCCTCCCGTACTTTTTGTTTGATGGACATCGAAACGTTCTTTTGCTTTGTAGATCCTTTGGCAGCTCCAGAATCAGAAATTCTTTTTAAGATAATCGAAAGTTCAAGCTTACTTTTATGAAATTGTTCTAATAGTCTGCAAAAAATAATAAGCCGGATCCAATTCGAAGATTAAGGAACAATGCAATCTGCAACATTAACTGAAATAGATAATTAGATAATTTTAGCTTACTTTATACCGTCCGTTATACATTAAACGCACATGCGTAAGCGTATTATGCGCACGCATCAATGTGTATGCACATGCGTTAACGCATGCGCAGAAAGTTTGTAGCTTTGAGGTCCGGATTAAAGACTTTTGACTGTATAACAGTTTTATTGAAAGTTGCAATTTTTTTGTGGCAGTTATATTGCAGTTATATTTGTAATTATAAACTAATATCTAACTATTTCAGCATTGCACTTTTTTTCAGTATGACTGTTAGAAGAAGATGTAGAATCCTAGCTTGAAACTATATATCTTAATTTGTCTTAAATACCTTTAATTGAAAATTAAATAATTTAAATTTAAATTTATGTCATTATAGTCAATATTAATTGTTCTGAATTTGATAGGATGCTGCAAATCAGGATATTTTTTTTCACAAATGTTAACATAATTTTTTTTGACTGATCACCCAAAAGTATGCGGGAAGTTTACCTCAATGTATCAGACTGCAGTTCCTACCCTTTTTTCTTCCATCTGATTGTGTAACATATAAATACCCATACAGCCCAATAAAATTTAATCAGTTTGCATAACCTGCCATTGGGAAGCGTCAATGTATTTATTTTATATTATCTAAGTAGATAACTAGTCAGAGATTGAGTTGGTAACTGCATTACCATTGACTGAGCCATAATTAGTCACTTAATCTCATGTAAAATGTAAAGATGGGCAAATTTTTGTTGGAGAGTTTTCTCTTATAAAGTATCTTTTCCAAAGTGAGTAATTCTGGAGTGCTTAATAGATATCTAAGTCAGCGTTTCCCAACCTTTTTTGGCCAAGGCACACTTGTCACGGGGAAAAAAATCACGAGGCACACCACCATTAGAAAATGTTAAAAAATTAACTCTGTGCCTATATTGACTATAATAAAGTAATTCTCTTGAATAGGAATCAAATAAGCACAAAGAAAGTATTTAAAATTACTTTATTATGAAATATTAAGTAAACAGAATAGTGAAAAATTATAAAATACTTTCAGTGTGAAACCTGGGCCTGTTTGGCTGAACCAAAGCTGATATTCTGGCTGGAATCGAAAAAAAAGACACACACGTAGCTCTTCGTCAACAGTTCTCAGTCTCTCTCTGTATTTGGTTTTCATAGCAATCATGCTTGAAAAGCTAATCTCACACAGATATGTAGTATGGAAAAAGGGAGCAATGTCAAAATAGCTTTGTTGCCAGAAGGGGGAACTCCTTGGCAGTATCCAACCAAAACTGTCCAAAGGTAGATCAGCAAATCTTAGCTTGCAAACCACGATTTTGTCTCAGTTCAATTAGTTCCTCCTGCTCCTGTAAAGTCATTTCCTTTCCAACAACTGATGCTGATCTATAAGGGTCCCTAAACCAGTCAAGGCATTCAGTGGAGACTGAAGAGAAAATAAATGACAACTTCTCCTCAAGAGTTTTTAAATGCTTAACTATTATCTCAACAGTGCAGCAGTGTGAACACCTTGCCATTGCATGGTGAGTGTGAACATTTCAAGATTGCCACTTTCCACGTGTTGATGCCAGAGTTGCACCTTTGAACGGAATCCATTTATTTTATCTGTACTTGTAAGCAGGTTTTCATTTCGGCCTTGCATTCGGGTGTTCCATTCATTCAGATGATGAAATATATCTGCCAGGTATGCCAGCCTTGCACACCACTCATCACTTGCAAGCTGCTTTGCGTAATCCCTCATTTGTCAGAAACACTTTAAGTTCCTCCCGCAGCTCATACACACGAACCAAGACCTTGCCACGCGACAACCACCGGACCTCCGTATGAAACAGCAAGGTTTTATGCTTTGCTCCCATCTCCTCACACAAAGCTGCAAATATGCGACTTTTCATGGGTCGTGACTTTACAATGTTTACCATGCGCACAACATCATCCAACACATGAACTAAGGCTGCTGGTAAAGTCTTGGCTACGAGGGCCTCGCGGTGTAAAAAACAATGCGTAATAATCACATCTGGATTTCTTTCCTTCACGCTGCTTACAAAGCCTTTGGTGCGCCCGGCCATGGCTGCAGCTCCATCGGTGCAGACACTTGTGCAGTTTTCCCACTTAAGTCCTCCTTGTTCAAGGTATTCTGATGTGACCCGAAAAATTTCTTCTCCTGTTGTTTTTTCTGGCAATACCTTGCAAAAAAAGAAGTTTTCTCTAATTGCATCACCATCAACAAAATACACATTAGCTAAGAGTTGAGCATGTCCACTGATATCAGTAGACTCGTCAAGTTGCAATGCAAATTTCTCACTGATATGGATCTTTTCCAAAACCACACTTTCGATGTCTGCAGACATGCCATTAATACGTCTGGAAATTGTGTTGTTTGAGAGAGGGACTTTGGCTATTTCCTTTGCTGCTTCAGGTATGAGCATCTCCTCTACAATAGCTTTGCAGGCAGGAAGTATTAATGTCTCTGCCACAGTGTGCGACTTTTTTGTCTTGGCTATAAGTTCAGCAACTTGATAGCTAGCTTTAAGAGCTCTTTCATTTACCTTTGTTGTTTTTTCTCATAAAAGTTGCCTGTTTCTCCATGTTGTCACGCAGGCGAACAAAATAGTTCACATTCTTGTTTTAAAGCAAAGGCTGTTTCGTTTGGAGATGGCATTTAAGTTTGCTTGGGACCATAGCACTGTTAGCTAGCTTTTCACCACACACCACGCACAGTGGAGTTGGTTTGTGTTCATCTCCAGTGAAAGTAAATCCAACTGAAATATAGCTTTCGCTATATTGCCTTGCGCCAGAGAATTTAACCATCTTGCTTTCTTTTGACCCCCACTCATACTCGGGCTCTCATCTGGCTCCAGATTTTGTTCAGAGTCCAGTTCTTTCCTTTTCAAAAACTTGTCCATCACTGCAGTATCAGTGGTCTCTCTCCTCACAGCAGCTGTTGTCTCTCTGACACTGTGTGAGGCGTCTGCCTGCGTCTCATGGGGGCGGGGACACGGCGGACACTTGTCAAGATTGGCAGGGGGAGGAATTATAGCACTGCACAGCGCCGTGACCACCTATGACACTGGCGGGGGGAGTGACGGGAGGAGTTATAGCGGGCGAACCACGGTGCTTCAGACGGCACACTGGTGTGCCGCGGAACTTCAGCGGTTGGGAACCGCTGATCTAAGTGTCTAAAAGTGCAATTCTGCATAGAAATCCACTTTTTCCCTCCCCCTCCACATGGTATTTAGGTTAATGAATGAATTTTGTCTAAGTTAAAATCCTTCTGGTGGGCTATTGTGTTCAGTATGGTGGTTAGCAGTGCTGGTTGCCATGCCACTCGGCCAGGGTTCAAATTTTGAAGACATAGATATTTGTAATTTTCTGTCCCTCTCTCTTGTGGCTGTATATTTTTCTGCCTCATGCAGTGACCCTAAACAACATTCTCAGTGTTGAGACAGATAAACAATGGAGAGTTTTTAGCCCTTCCCAACTAATGCTTAATGAGCAGGTTCCTGTTTGTTGCAGGAAAAGATGAAACCTTCTAGTGATAAAAGTCGCTTTTATACATATGTTCAAAATTGATCCTCTGTTTAATGTCAGTATACATTAAATTGTATTAGAAAATTGTCTAGAAAAACACGATAACCAAGGCTTTGCTTTTTTATGGTAAGCATTACAAGTGTTCAAACAGTTACTGTTCCTTTCCTCTCAGATATCATTTTGTAACACCTCATTAGCTCATCTTACTAAGATGTTAAAACATTTGTGTTGGAATTTAAAATACTACTATGTATAACTTTTGGTTAAGCTTTAAATTTTTTTAAAGATAATCTTATATAGGAATATTAAATATGTGCTTGTGGATAATTCAAATCTAAAACATATAATTGCCATTAAAAATTGCAATGATTTACAGATACCAGCCTCCTTTTTGCCACTGTATTCTCAAACATGCTGTATAGCATAGGAAGAATACAAGCTATTTCCATCCAGATTTTTACAGCATAATGTGTCACATATGGAACTATAAATCCATAAATAGTGATGTCAAAATTCTTCAGAGCAGATGAATCTGATCTTGTTTATTGAATTCTTCCCCCCCCTCCTTCCTTGAAGTTCTATTGCTGGTGGTAGCTGGTCCACCAGAAAATAATTATTGTACTGTAACTGAGATTGTTGTTACCATCAAAGTGCAAACTTGATCCCTACTATAGTTTCTAGGCCCAATTAAATCATAAGTATCTTTAATACTGAATATTTATGAATTAAACCCAGAGTTTGTAAGTGAATTACTTTTTATGATATTTTTTCGTAATGACTTTCTTTTTATATAATAAATTCAATCAGTCGTATAGGTTTATGCATTTGATTAATTTATTTAGAAAATCTGACTTTGATTAGGCACATGAGATATCATACTGCTACAGTAAGGTCTTTTATATTAGATGTTTATAGATAAATAGTTTCATTGAGGTGACTGAGAAAGTAGGCTTAACTATGTTTCTTACATTATGTTTAGCAATTTTATGGCTATCTTGCTTGTGATAGTAATTCTATTTTATATTATTTTTAATTTTTTTATAGGACAAAGAATTAATAGAAGAAGAACAAAATGTATATCAGAGATCTGTAGAAAGTGATACTTTAGTTAATTCTGAAGATAATCTGCTAATGGATGAACCCCCATTATCTTGTGTTAGTCTTCTATCCTTAACTGATAGTGAATGCAAAACTGAATATGTTACAACCGATTCTGAAACAAATTTCAGCAGAAAAGTTTCATTTGATATGACAAAGCCTGCACAAGAACAGGAAATATGTGTTAAATGTGAAAAATATCTTGAACTAGTAAAAGAAAAATATGAAGATGAAATATGTATCTTAAAAGAAACTTTAGAAAATAACCATAGCCTTCAAAAGATGGAGTTGTTAGAAAGCATAAAAGAACTTAAATCTGAAATTGAAAAATTGAAATCTGATAAAGATGACTTGAATGTGCAATTGAATCAACAAATTGAATTGCTTTGTAAAGAGCATGAACTTAAGATACAGTATTTGACTGAAGAACATAATAAGGCATTAACACAGTTGCAGAACTCTTGTAGTAAATTTGTTCTTGAAAAAGATGAATTAGTTGTCAAAGTTAAAGATTTAGAAAATAAATTAAACATTGCTAATGAAAAGACAATTGAAGCTCTGAATGAAAAAGCAAAAATTGAATGCTCGCTTCCTATCCAAATAGCTGATTTGGTGCAAGAACATCAGCAAGATTTAGAGGCTTTGAAAACACTTAGTACTGAACAGTTAAATCAAGAAAAGAAGAAACTGGAAATGGAGCATTTGGCTTCAATTGAAATGTTAAGGAAATTACATGATGATGAAATAGAGGACCTTAGATCTCAAATTCAAAAGGAATTTCAAGAAAAGGAACAAAAATTAATTAATGAACATTCAAAAGCTATAGGTTTAATTGAAGCAGCTCATTCTGATGAGTCTGCAACATATCAGAAAAAAATTGAGCAGTTGCTTGAGGAAAAGTGTGAGCTTCTATCAAAAACAACACATGAATATGAAACAATATTAAAAAAGAATCACAAAGCTTTAATTATATTATGCAATCAACTAAGGGCAAAAGTTAGTATTCATAAACAAAGAATGTTAAATAGTAGTTTAAAATCTTCTAATAGTGATAAAGACTTTAGTGAATTTGATATTTTTGATGACTTGAATAATAGTTTGGAAAGTGGACTTGTTAAATTTTTGAACCAGAATTACTTTATGAGCAATGCCAATAAAAGATCAAATGATGCAGACTATCTAGAAGAAAGGTAAGTTTTAATTGATATTATGTATTTTATTTCTGTTTTGTTATGCATCATATTATATATTAGTTATATTTGATTATTAAGTCATTTTCTATGTTCAAGGCCAGTTACAGCAGTACTTTTTTTTTTTTTTATATCTAAATATACAGTGAAACCTTGATTCATGAATTTAATTCATTCCTAAAGGCCATTCATCATTTGAAATGCTTGTATACCAAAACTGTTTTTTCTTGTGATTGATCTTTTCCTGAACCATAGATGATAATTTATTTAAAACTTACAACAGAACTTTGCTTTAAGTTTGCAGCACGAAAATAATGAAAATCTTTAAATATAAGATATCCCTTCTCCCCAAAAAAGTAAACACTGTAAACAGATAAAATAGTCAAAAATTTAATTCTACTGTACAAAGGAGAATGGATGACATAATTGGAAAGTGATGACGAAAGAGATGGAAAAAGTATTACTATTTGGATGAGAAGTCATCTTCTATAAAAATATATTAACTGTCTTTCTAGGGCATCACCCCTTATCTTTCCTTTACCTCCTAGTTTCACTTAAGTGTGATTGAGATTCATTTGTTATTGTTTCACTCAGTTGATTGTTGAGTTTTGATTGTTATGATTTGTTGTTGTGTATATTTTAATATTTTTCTGAAGCAAGGTGTGACATCTTCATTGAAAATCTTTTTCTGTAGCTTTCTACTGCTTGATGAAGGTGATATTATTGCATGAAACTACACTGTACCCCATTTTGCATAAATTTTACAGATCAAAGAACTTGGTTGTTTATTCCTCTTCATCTGGAGATACTTCCTCCATAGCTGGCTTTTGTTGCTGTTTCTGACAGTATCTCATTTCATTTTTGTTGAACTCGTATTTGTGGTTTTGAGCTTCTCCACATCTTCCTTGTTAACTTCAACTACCAGGCTGCTGCTTTTGTACAGAGACCCAATATCACAGATACACCTCCCCCCCCCAAAAAAAAAATCCTCAGTTTCAAGGAGCTCAAAATCTCTGCCTGCAACATAATTTGGCCATTATTTCCTCCAAGCTGAAATATAGTCCTCTGTAAGTCACTTGCTGTCAGATCTTCTTGATGAGAGAGAAGTAACGGAAAATATTAAAATATTTCTAGAAGTCCCTGATTGTTACCTACAGAAACCTTTGAAAATAATTGGTTATTGACATGAAAGTTTGTTCTTTCATCATCTGAGATATTTTTTATTCTGATAATTTGTTTGTGAATTGATTTATTCACATTGAGAGAGGAGAAATGATGCAAGATTTCAGTTTAGTTTTATTTTCCTAAAATTTATAAAATAAACTCTTCTGATGCTCATGCAAGTCTGTGGAAAACTGAGTGAGGATGACATGATAAAAACTATCAAAAAAGATGAAAAAGAAGAGATTGTATCTGATTCATAACAGAATGCAAAGACTGTTAAGCCTTCTAATAATCAAGCCATAATGTACTTCATAAAAACTCTGAAAGCATTTATACAGATTGAACCTACCTCTGAAAATGAATTTAAATGTTTACTTCCAATCGAGAAGCTGGTGAAAAATGTAGGCATAAATAAATAAAGCCAAACATCCATTTTACAGTTTTCCCCAAAAGCGTAATTCATATTTTTAATTAAATTTGACTTTCTGCTGCATATGTTCTGCATCATTTTATGATTAAGATAAGCCTTTATTCTTTTTTAATATGTTTAATTTTAGATAGCATAGTGTAATATATTTTCTGGCTTTATACATACTAAAAGATTTTTCTTCTTCAATGTTACACTTTTAAAGTTATATTTTCTCTTAACATCAGTCAGATAATTTGAACTGTTTTCTGAGAACATTTGAGTTCAAATTAACTAGCATCAACTGTATTATGTATATCACTTTTTAGCAAGTTATGTAAAAAATTTTTTTTAATGCAGTTTTAGGGATATTCTGTCAAGGATTTTCCCACCTTTTTTACCTAAATAGGGTTTTTGAAATAATTGACTAAATTTTTATCACTTTATAGTTTAAGCATCAATTTTTTTATCTTGTGAACTGATAAAATAATAATAGACTTATATTAGCTACATTGATAAAAAAATTATTGATTTAAAAAAAGAGAAATTTATGATGATTATTTTTTTGGTTTGATTTCAAAATTCATTCCGTAATGTATATCAGAATATTGACAGATTGTCTGATAGTTTAATGTATTGCATTTGCATGTTCATATTTTAAATAATCATACCTATGTCCTGCTAAAAATTTATTTTTTCATAAATAATGGCTGTAAAAATTTAGCCTTATATTTTTAAGGCATTATTATATTTTTGGGGTTTGAGGCATAATTTATTATTATTATTGGCACTGCTATTATTATTTTTATTATTCTTCAGTTTAAAAGTATTTAATATGCAGCCTTTTTTTTGGGGGGGGGGGCGTGTGTGCCTGTGGTTATTTAAAAATTCATCATGCTATTATAGAATATTATTATTGCAGATCATCTCTGTCTGATCTTGAAGACAAAGCAAATGATCCTAAAACATCTAATATGGTTTGTAATTTCTTTTTATATAATTAAAATATATAAAACTAATAGCTATAAACTGAAAATAGATATATTAGGTTTCATCTAGTTGGTAATAATTTAATTAATTGACTTCTCAATTAATTTATTTCAATTCTTGTATTTACTTGCAGTATTAATATTCAAAGTCATAAATTAATGTGATCGAGACAACATATTAACTTAACAATGTAATTAAATTAGACAAAAAAACATTTTAACCTTTCTTTTAAATCTGTCTTTATTGCCCATATATTTAAAAGTTTTTATATTGATGTATATTAAAGTTATTATTTATATTAAAGGCTTTGGCTTAGAATTTTATTGCATATGCTATTTTTCAAATGCATTAATTTTTATTTCCTGTGTAGGCTCATGTTTAATTAAAATTGATTGCCAAATTTTGTTGTAATGCCCATGACCATTTAAAATTTTAAAACTGATATAAGAATAAATTTACTGTGAGGAGTTAAATTTTTTATATGCCAGGAATTATTGAATTGTAGATTCAATATAATGAGTAAAAAATAGAAGTCATTTTGAATCTTTTCCTTTATAGAACAACATGTACTAAACAATTTTCTGTAGAAAGATAATGATGCTTTGTGCAAGAACTTAAGCAGCCTGATACTTTCTGCCAGAAAATATACTTTCATCATAAGTTTATTTTTGACTGTTAAAATTGGTACTTAACGTATTAATGCAACCACCTTGGTTGCAGTTTGGCAATTTTTTGCAAATGAAAAGGTAAAAATTACATAGTAGGAACAAGTTGGTAATTTTTGCAACATTTTTTAAAAAGATTGCCAAACTATCAATATTTATCTAAGTTGATCAACATTATCATCCTATGAAAGTCAACATATTTTAGCAATTTTATATAGATTTTACTTGTGAAATAAAATTTTTGTGATACATTAAAAAGATAAAACACTTACATTTGTCTTAATCTTCTTATAATTTTTATTGCGATATCCCCCCCCCCTCCAAATACATTGAAATCTGTTTTTGTTTGGGGAAGGAAAAAAAAAAAAAAAAAATATCAGAGAATTTGAAACCATGGCAATTGCATAAACTCAGCAACATGGGCGTTTTACTGAACACATCTTTTCAGTGTTCACTGTAGAGATTAATGTGAGAGACTCACTGTAGAGATTTTGCCGTAGTTTCTTCAGTTGCTGACAAATTCCACAAGCGTATATTTTAAAACTGAGTTCAGGGCAAACAGTGTCATGTTTTTTTTTTTTTTAATAATAACTGTTTGAACCTGGAGGGAGGAAAAAAAAACCACACTACATATGAAAATGGCGACATTGCTTGACTGAAGGATTGTTGTAAGAATGGCTGCCTGAAGAGTGTTTACATGCATTGTTGCCAGAGTTTGGCACTTTCTAAAAATTCAATGATTTCTGCCATAAAATTTTCATCAAATAAAAAAGTATATCTGTTTGATTAGTTGTTTTAATAAACAAAGAACAAAACTACAGGGCAACACTGTACTTATTTTGAAAACAAGAATATGATAAGAAATAAGAGCAAGACATTTAGTTTATGTATAATAGCAGATAACACTGTATGTGCAATCAAAAGTTGTTAATCCTGAATGATCTATAATCCAGACCTCAAAGCTACAAACTTTCTGTGCATGCGTGAACGCATGCGCGTAATACTTTTATGCTTGTGCATATGTGTGTGCGCATGTGCATAATACATTTACGCATGCGCAATTAATGTAAAACAGTCGGAAAAAGCTAAGCTAAAGTTATCTAATTATATATTTCAGTTAATGTTGCAGATTGCATTGTTCCTTAATCTTCGAATTGGTTCCGGCTTATTTATTTTTGCAGACTGTTAGAGCAATTTTATAAAAGTAAGCTTGAACTTTTGATTATGTCAAAAAGAATTTCTGATTCTGGAGCTACCAAAGGATCTACAAAGCGCAAGTATGTTTCGATGTCTGTCAAACAAAAAGTGGAATTGCTGCAAAAAATGGATAAAGGCATATCCTCGATCCTGTAACCATTCCAAAATATGTTTATCAATTTCACGCTGCTCTGCGACGACAGGGGGGGGGACGCAGCGCGCAGTGAACTGGAAGTTGATCTGTCAGCACTATCCTTATCTTCAGGGCAGATGTTTTCATTTTATTTGGCTTATAATTCCTTACTAAATGTAGTATTTCATCTCGATGTACTCTGTCTGTCAGTATAAATATCACGAATACACATCAAATAGTTTTCTGGTTGCAATTTTCTAATTTCGACTGCGTAATGTATGCTTTATGCATGAGCACGTTGAAAGAAATGTTTAATAAAGTAAAATAAATATTAAACTTTTTTTAAAAAATTTGATACTCTTTAAATCATAATTGCTCTTTATTTCATAAATTCCGGTTTCATATTTTTAATTTTATAATTTCTGCATGCCGTCTTACCAGATTTAAACTGATGATCTATAATCTGGTATCGCCTAAGTCCCGATGAGTCCGGATTAAAGACTTTTGACTGTATTTCTTTTTTAGAATATTGTTTGGTGTGTATTGTCCTATAACAGAAAATATCCACTTTAAAAAAAATAAAAATAAGAATTTTTTTAATGGCTCAATTAAGTTATGCTTCTAGGTTTCAAATTTATATTATAATATGTTCAGTTTGTGTGCAAAATAATAATTAACAGTACATATTTTAAATTTTCCCATGGTCATATTTAATTTCAGACTGATGAACAGAACTTGGATCAAATGGGAGGTGGTGAGCAAATGTTTAATCGAGCTGTTTCTGAAGTTTCAATTGATTCTGATGATATGCAGATGATCTATTCAGAAATCAATAAATTACAAGAAGAGTTTCAGAAAGATGTTGCTATGTATAGAGATGTCAATGAACAACTTCATCAGGAATGCAAAACTCTTCGGAAACAAATAAACGAAGTAAGTACTATTTAAGAATATTTACTTTAAACATTACATGCTTGTCCATTCTTATGTGGGGGCAGCCAACTGTTCTGTATATAAGATCTACTTTTTATGTTAAAAGTGTGTCGCAATTGACTTGTCATAGGTGTAGTCTAAGGGGGAGAAGGGTGTAAAATACATACAATGTTTATACACTGTGTTTCAATATGAGGTGCATTCCAGCGAGGTATGGGTAGCTAAGTAAAATATATGTTCAAAACTATTTTTTAAATCTATTATTAAGTTTTTGAGATATGAAGAAAATAATTTTCCAAACCCAACTTTTAATAGCACCATTCCATACATGCGGTACCTAAACATTCTATTTTCTCCACTTTTTCAGGATAGATTTTTACTAACTTAAAATGCAACTTAATTTTTTTATGGCTGATAATTTGATTTCAATATTTCACTTTCGCATTTTTTGGGGGCCAGGAGAATTTATCGTGAAAAAATAACACGGCTTACTTTTGCTAATCTAGCAATAGCTTGCTATGCATACCTTGTATTAAAATATAGATATAAGGTTTAGCTACTTACATAAAAAACAACAACAATTATTATTTATAGATCCCAAAAACTCATGTCAAAGGGAAAAAAAAGAACATGGATAATTATTAACAATATTTACTTATTCAAAGTAGCTACAGATAAAGACAGATTTAGAATTTACTTTGTTGCCTTAACATCAATGGAAAGATTGTGTTTGCATGTCCTAACGAAGGAATCATAATTAAGTGTATATCCTGACAAAGATAATAACAATGAATCTTTAGTATGGGAGTCAATCAGGGCAGAACGTTGTTTAGTCTTCGTTAGTTTCAAGTATGAAAATGCCAATTCACACAGGTATATAGACTCAAAACAAGAGTAGATATATTCACAACATTTAATGATACTGAGATATTTTTCCTTGTTGACATATTTACAAAAATTTCCTTTAAATTTTCCGGTGTGTAAGATTAAGTCAGTTTGTAAAATCATAATTTCATTTGATCCATATAAAATATGTCTGAAATTTTTGGGGTAATGCATGTCACACTTAAATTTTTTAAAAGGAAAAGATATGATTTTTGCAATTTCTTTAATTTTTTCAAAATCCTGGAATCTTAACTCAAAATCTTCAATTACGTTTTGGATTTCCATGACATATTTATTTGCTTATCTTATAATTAATATTTTTATTTTTTGTGAGTTATCCGTCATATATGGAAAATCATTCAGATTATTTTGTTCCAGATCTTCTAGTAGCAAAGTAAATTTTGTTTTATATGCATCTATGTAGCTGATCATATCACTTACTGTTCTATTTTTACCTTGTAAATGTAAATTTAAATGACTTAATATTGAAGTAAAATCAGTAAGAATGCTAAGTCACCAAGCCAAGTTTCATCATTTAAATTTTCACAGTTTCCATCTAGTTCATGAAGAAAATCTATAATTTCAGGCAATAAATCACAAAATCGCTGCAAAAATTTACCTCTGCTTAGCCAACTGATATTAGTATGTAGTAATGATTCAAGTCGGGCTTCATCAAGCTGCAGTTGGGAAAGACGCCGTTTGAGGAAACTTCCTCTAATTGAATTAAAACCCTTTCGTGATGGCGCACCTTTGTTTGAGACGCTTATATGGGACGGAAGGGAATCGAAGGCAGTCACCATACAGGACGGAGGTTTTGCATCGCTAAGCCTAATTTCATAAAAAAATTAAGAAAAAAAAAAAAAAAAAGTTTCACTTCTAGCATCGTAATTTTTGGTATCATTTTAGATTATTACTTGAACTCTTATATATGTTCAAATTAGTATTTAATAACGTTTTTTTCTTTATTTTACATGAAAATATACTTAAAAAATTGCTTATCTTGTAAAATAATTTTTGGAAGCGCAATTCAAATTATTCCAAAGTTTGAATTGATAAAATCCATCAATAAAGTTTAAAATTAATAAAACAACACAATAAAGACTATTTACAGTAAGAAGTAACAAAATTTAAAATGAAGGCTGAGTGTGGTAAATCTCGAAGCATGGAAAAGTATCACTTTCTAACTCTTTAGAAAATGAATCATAACTCTCATCTGTGTTAGTTAAATGGTTCATTAACCATACGAGGGTATTCTTCCTCTGATAAATAGTGCCTTCCCATCATGATAGACTGGACTTTTCAGAATTAAAAAGAGAAGAAATGGAAATATATTTGAAGGCAACGCAAAACGTAACAGAACTCCACATACTAATCCTAAAAAACAGTACATAGTAGAGGAAAAAAATAGAATAAAAAAAGGAATTGGATATAAATCAGACAAGCAAATTTTTATATTAATGCCACGATTTAAAGAGCCCACCTCTGTTTACGCTTTCCCTCCCCCCCACCCTCGCAACAGTCGATGAGTAAAATACCTAAGTCAGGCAGAATATATCAAACTCAAGGTCAGGAACCTAAAACTGTGTTCATTTCAAAAGTAATGGAAATACGATGTCATCTAGTGGTCTTCAGAAAAACATTCCTGTTTAAAATGCGTATACGCATTACCCGTCCTCTGAATGCAATCTCTAGTGATGCGTTGATGGGACATCCGGCTGTAAGAGACGTTCTTAGGGAATATGTATATGAGACGCCCGTCCTGAAAGGGCAATTTTAAATGCTATGTCCATTACCTTTTCTTTTTTTGGTTTAGTCTCTTGCTAGCTAACACTTGCTGGTGAATTATGCAGTGATAGCCTAAAAATGCAGGGAATTCATCTTCTTTTTTGACATTTTAGGACTATAAATCCATTTATGCTACCTGTCATTGCAGCTGCGCCATCCGTTGTTATTGAGACTAATTTTAAAAGTGGTACTTTCAAATCATTGCGCAAGTTTTAAAGGCTTTGAATATGTCTACATCTCTAGTCCTTTCCTTCAAAGAAATCATATCCAATATTTCTTCTCTAGATGTAAAATCCTTAAAACCTTACGAACAACAACAATTAATTGTGCCGCATCACTTATATTTGCGATTCATCACACTAAAAGGGAAAGACAAGAACATCTATTAATATTATATATCTATTATTATTAAATCTTCATTATATAACTTCTCTTTTACATTCCCACTCATCCTTTCAATCCGTCGCATTACTGTGTTTCAAGACAACTGTAAATCTTAAATTGCAGCAACAATTTCACTTTTGTTCTTAAAATTGCTAAAAAGGGAATCTAACATTTCTAAAAAAATTATCTTTATAAATACACTGTGAGAAAAGGGCTTACATTTTTTTCCTAAGAGATAGCTTACTTTGAATGATTCAGTAGTTACTACTTGGGACTTGAACCTTGGCTTTTTAAAAACGCTTTGTTAATTTGTTAATTGAGTTTTAAGATCCCTAACTTTATGTTTCTCAGTTCAGAATTTGTGGATAATCTGTTTGATACTTGTTATGTAAACCTAAAAATGTCTCTCCAGATTAACCTTTTTAGCAATGGCTACTGAGGTAAGGCATATTAAACAACATTTATCATTCAGTATTGTAAAAAAGTAATCGAGTTCCTATTCTTCATTGAAGTGATGAGTTTTTAATTTCTTAGGTTTACTACTCATGTTCATGGGTATACTAGAATGCAAAGAAATATGACAATTTAAATAATAAATATTGAATTAAATATTTTTCTAGAAAATTCAAAACTCATGATCTGCGGCTATTATCTCCGTTACATTAAGAGAAATGATAATAATACTGCATACTACGATTGGACATAGCAATACAAGTGTATTAAAATCTAATAAAGATATCTTCAAATTTACAAGAAGTGTGTTAAAGATACAATATACTTATTACAGTTTAAATACTGAAATCTTAATTTAAATAGATTTATTGTTATTCATATTATATTTGTAATACTATCCTTTATTTTTCTTCCAGTGTAATAACCGCAGTTTAGAGATATATTGTCGAGAATGCTCATTTATCAAGTAAATTGATATGCAAGAAAAGCAATTTGCTTTAAAACAAAGAAAAGGTATTTACGTTTTAAACAGAAGAAAAATTTAAACCCAGAGTTGTCACTGAGGAAAAATAATATTGATTAATAATAATATTGTTAATACAAAAGAAAAGAAGCTACTGTATGACACTACCAAATATTCGAGCTAACTGACTGTGTTCTTCTACGAGTCAAGCACTAACAGGTGCGTTCATGTATTGCATCCAGACCAAGGCGTTGGTACCTTTGCTTAATTAAGCAATAACCTCCACATCTTTGTTAAAAAATACGAAATAAATAAATAAATTTGAGCATTGCATCCAGTGACAAGTGTAAAACATAAGTCAAAATGTGTTGTGTTGGATTCGAGGAGATCACATTGTCTCGCTATCAGAATTCTAGGAATTTATTCTTATTTATCTAAGTATTCCCAGAATGCATTAAACTATTGCTAAAAGGTTTTGTCTTCTACAATCGCTTCAAAGTCCAACGTACACGGAATTCCACTCCAGTCATTGTGAGCAATCAATGATCGACCAAAATTAGACTCGCGATCAACTTGTTGGGCACCCCTGCTGTACTTACTACATTGATGTATTTTTATGAGCCATCTTTAAATGGCAGCAAAATAGCTTTAAAGAATTCAACTAAACTAAGTTTGGGTATACTCCAGCATTTCTACCCCCATTGCCTGCCAGAGAATTTAACGACGTCAAAAAGCAAAAGTTTTCCTCTCCCCTTCAAACTACAGGGGTCTTCACACTTTCCGAAGAAGACCTCTCCCTTTAAAAAAGTTGAAGGTTACAATTTTACTCTCCGAAACCAATAGTAGTCAACAGGGAAATTGTTATATATTCTTTATGTGTTAGAACAAAGTAAAGAATATCTAACAAGCAGGATATTTACTAGAATAAACAGTAATAAATGCAAGAGCTAACAAAGAAAATGAAATGTATTAGTAATCACACATGTTAGCATTAGAAATATCTTTCATGAATGATTATTTGATACTAAAGTTTGTTAAAATGTACTAGAATTATTTTTTTAATAAAGTAATCATGTCAGCATTTAGGAAAATTAGTATTTAAATAAATAAAAAAAACTTAGCATGAAATCTGTTATAACAATATTACTATGCGTTTGGAATACTGACTTATAATCTTGAATTTTAAATAAATGAAAATTTGTACTAAATTTTTTTTTAAAATTTATCTAGAAAGGAAGAATTAGATAAGCAGTACTGCAGATTAATAATCAGTTGATGCTGTCAATAAATAATAGCTTAATTTTTTTAACCACAAATTCGTAGTTTTTTTTAAGCCAAAGTTTGTGTAACATAATTAGAAATATCTGAATAACATTAGTAGGTCGTCTTAATTCATAACTTTTTAAAAAATAATTGAATGTAATATAAAATTTAGTGAAAATTTTCTTTTAATTTTGCAAATGCATGCCAAATTTTTATTTAATTTTTTTTATACGTAAACATTTCACAATATCTGAAAAACAAAAATGGTAATTTATACACTCAAGTGAATGCAAGCTTTAGAGAAAAAAAAAGTTTTGTAAAAACCATTTCGGAGATTCAAACTGTGAGAAGGAAAAGAAAATGATTATTCAAAACTAGAATAATTCACAATTTTTAGACATTTTTCACTACCAGGATCAGCTCTTATATTAAAAGGGAGGATGAAAAGTTTAGCATTTTTCCATTGTAGAATCGTACGATTAGCAAGCATGGTATACTAGCACTATTACTATGATAATAATTACAACAATGGTAGTAGTACATAATATTAATCAAATAACCAACTTAATTATCATAAATATTTTGTGAAATCACAGAAATTTTCAAAAAACAATTTTGATGAGTTTTTACTTCCTTTTTCAAAGTAAAGGAAGTATTTTCATGCGAAAAACTTTCGAGTATCGTATTTCAACGAAAATATCCATTTTGAGCGCTCCCGAATCCATTAAACAACGTTTTTCCATAGAATCTGTACATACAGACAAAATAAAGGACTCTTTTTCCTCCAAACGGATTGAAAAATATATCTAAAATGGATTCAGAAGAGATTTGTTTTCACGACATCTGTATTTACGTACATATTTACATGTGTCTCGCATAACTGGAAAATGACTAGCCTCAGAATGTTAAAATTTTGTATATGGGATTGCTATAACATGTAGTTGTGCACTTCCCTTTATGGTTACGATTAGCCGCACCAAAAGTATATATACACTGCTGGACAATGAAATTGCAACACCAGGAAGGAATCATATGACGAATGTCAAAATCACATAAAAGGAAGAAGAGCTTGGGATATGCAAATGATAAGTATTTCAGCCTATTTAGACGATGCAGGAAGGAGAAATGACATCTGAAGATCTGCATAAAAGAAAAGTTGTGTAGAGGATTTCTCATTTGGAAAGCACTCTGTAAGGTCAGAGTTTGCTCAGAATATCATGTTAAGTCTCGAATAATTATCATAAATGCTTACCAGTGAGTGTTGGAATGCGATAGAGGCAGATCGTTACCTATCGAGAGTGTGGGTTATCGTTCTATGATATCGCCCGTCGCACTGGTCAACATCCAGCCATACTGTCGTGAATATGGAATCAATGGCTTGCTGATGGTGATATTGAATGGCATGCAGGATCTCACCGTTCTCCTATGACTAATGCCTGAGAGGGTAGACATACTGTGATGTCAGCCCTGCAAAACTGTACAACCACATCACAGACCATTAGTCAGGAAATGAGCATGTTTGCAGCATGCCTAGTATGCACTTGTATAGTGCATAAACGTTTGCAGCCACATGGACTATCAACACAACAACCATTACTTCGGCTTCTGTTGACAATGCAGCATAGAGAGAGACAGGGACTCTGGTGCGGCATATGACAAAGCTTAGGAGTGGCACAGTGTCGTCTTTGCAGATGACCTGGTTCTTCCTGCAGTGTTCTGATGGCTTTGTATGTGTCTGGAGGCTCCGTCGCCTGCTTGCATTTGATATCGGCATATGGACCTTACACCTGGTGTAATGGTTTGGGCAGCCATTGGGTGCACGACATGCACATCTCTAGTTTGGATCGATGGTAATTCAAATGCAGATCGATACATTTCTGACATCTTTATCCAGTGCTTGTGCCCTATCTTCGAGGCCTGTCAAACGCCATCTTCCAGCAAGATAATGCAAGACCATATGTTGCATGTTGTGTTCTGACCTTCCTTGATACACAGGGTATTTGATTGCTGCCCTGGCCTGTGTGGTCTCCAGATCTGTCACCTATTGAAAACATCTGGTTGCTGAGAGACTGGCCTGTCACCCTTCTTCAGCTAATATGGTTGATGAAGTATGTCATAGACTTGAAGCAGCATGGCTCATTTCAATATGAATTGGCATAAATACAATACAACAATATACAAATTCTGCATACATGAAAACTTAAATACAATACAAAACAATATACAAAAAAGAAATGGATAAAGAGAAAATTAAAAATCCCAAGATATGAATGTAGGGGAATTCTACTTTTTTCTATTAATTATGAAAATGGTGCAAATGCTCATAATTATGATTCATTCATTATTAATTAAATGTGTATTAAAAATTAAATGTATGTCAAAGTATATAAGATAGAGTAATTGAAAACATAATAAATATTTAAATGTTTCTAATATTAAAATACAGAATTTGTAAGAAAGTTAAATAATTTCAATGATTAAAAATGGAAAGCTTAACAAAGACATTACAGTAACATTGGTGTGAATTTAGAACCACTTAAGAAACCCAACTTTTAGATGTGATAAAGAGAATTTTTAAAATTAAACATCGCGGCGTGCAATGAACTGGAAGTTGATCTGTCAGCACTATCCTTATCTTCAGGGCAAATGTTTTTATTTTATTCAGCTTATAATTCCTTACTAAATGTAGTATTTCATCTCGATGTACTCCGTCTTTGATATGATTTAAATCAAATTCCTCATCATTATAAATATCACGAATACACATCAAATAGTTTTCTGGTTGCTATTTTCTAATTTCGACTCTGTGTAATGTATGTTTTACGCATGCGTGCGTTGAAAGAAATGCTTAATAAAGTAAACAAATAAATATTAAGCCTTTTTTTTTTTTTTTTTTTTTTTTTTTTTTTTGTAAATTTTGATTCCCTTTAGATTATAATTGCTCTTTATTTCATAAATTATGGTTTCATATTTTTAATTTTATAATTTCTGCATGCCATCTTACCAGATTTAAACTGATGATCTATAATCCAGAAAAACCCGATAATCCGGAATCGCTGAAGTCCCGATGAGTCTGGATTAAAGACTTTTGACTGTATAAAGTTTTAATTTCCAGCAGCTATTAGTAATGAGTGATTTATAACTTTCTTTTTCATGAAGTTCACTTAATATGATATATTGCAAGCCTACTGACAATTGATACTAAACCAGATAATAGGAACAGAAATTTAAAAAACTGAAATTCATTTCTTATTTGTAGATACAATGCCTTTTATTTGTAGATAGCTTGTGCATTCTGTATGTTAAATTTTAGAATCAGAATTAGCTTTATTATTATATGAAAATGATAAATTATAAAGGGTTTGCATGTTTAGATATGTATAGGTTGCTTGGTTTTTTTGTTGGCTATCCTGGATCAATGCAAGCCAATTTAAAATGAATGTATAGCAGATATTTTTAAAAAAGGATTTATTGTGTATCATCTAACAGAAATCTAATGTTATGTACATATAATCTGTATCAAAGTTGAAGTAGATTTCTAATACCTAAATCCTGAAATGTTCTTAGCATTGAAAAAAAATATGTAATTGGGCAACTTGTTTCACTGTGTTGATGAAATGTTTATGGATTGTGTTTTATTAGTGTTTTTACTTAACTTTGGAAAGATAATTAATACTGCTTAGTGTTAAGTGTTATAGTGCCTTGTAGTAATTAATTAATCTTCATTTTGTGAATTTTATAGCTAGAGCACCATAAAGAAGATCTTGAAATGCAGCTTCATTCAAAAGAAAAGGAATTGGTTGATAAGGAATCTCAGTTAGCTTCTATGGATGCTGCAGCAGTGAAGTAAGACATTTTTTTTTATTTTTTTTTATTTTTATAATAACATGCATGTACAGTGGAACCTCTATTTTGTGGCTTTCTTCAAAACTGCATTTTAAAATGTTAAATTTCAGAATTCTTAGCACATGGGGGGAATGTTTTTCATGGAGACAAATTTGGTGAAGTTAAGAAAATAAAATTTTTTATCCTAGTAATGTAAATGCAAACATCTTTGAGTAAATCATAGAAAAAAGGCTTACCAATTGCCAAATAAATGAGTTAACTGGCTGTATGTCATTTTTATAATTTTTCTCTTGTTGACATGAATTTAAATAATTTTTCTGATGGAGTCGTCCTTCTAGGCATCCCTTTTAGAGGATCCCCTGTTCCCTTAGAAGAGATAGTCTCCATGCATTTTCTAAAATAAGTTAACCTACCAACTATTGTAAGGATAATTGTTGTTTCAATTAATTTATTTTTCATAACAGTTTGAAGAGGGGATTTTTGCAGTTCAAGTTTTTTTTTTTTTTTTTTTTTTTTTTTTTTTTGTATCATCAAGTTTATTGCTCTAAATTGTTCGGCTTCTTTAGCTTTTAAGTAAAGACAAAAATATTTATGTTTCTGGCTACTTTCTGGTTAATGAGATTGTTAGAAACCAGGACATTGCATTTTATTAATGCTCTAACCCCAAAATTTAAGGAATGAGGAAAATTAATTTTTCTTAACCTATTGTCAGAATATAAAATAATAACTGTAGTCTGTATTACAGTGCCAAATAGAAACACAACTAAGTTTTACAAGTGATTATTTATTTACTAGTAGCTACTTCAGATTGATCAATCTGGCCATGTTAAAAATTACTAAACAAATTACAAATGTTCACCTTGTTAACAGTTCTTGTGAGTTCGTTCCGTTGAAGATTATGAAGCCAAGTAGATATATATTTTTATCCTCCTCCTATGCACCAGTCCCTGTTCTCGGTTTTACTTGTGAGTTATGTGACCTTTCTTCCTGGAAGTTTTCAAGAGGTTTCTTCCAGTATTACACAGACATGGGCCCTTTCCCTGTAGGCCAACCACACCAGATGAAGTACAGAGTTCTTACCTCTCTCCTCACTACAGGTAGCTAACCGTGGGTGGAGTACAGAGTTCTTACCTCTTTCCTCACTGGGTAGAAGTCCTTGCCAACCCCCCCACTAGCAGTACAATATACTAAATAGCTGTCAGAAGAAACTATGTAGACCTTTTAACTAGCATTCACTCTGCAAATTAATTCTTTTTTTAATCTTTTTTAATTCTTTTTTTAAGTACCATACCATGGTATTGACTGGGGCTTTTAAACAGGCTTGCTAAGTAATCAGTTAGATGTTACCGGAATTTTGGAGAGCTAGGCTATTGGCTTTATGCATATGTAAGTGCAAAATGCCACTGTAATTGCACCCCCCCAAAAAAAAGCTGTATGGCAAATTACTTTGCCTACCATTGCATTTTACTCTTTGATTCCATTACAGTTCAAGCTGGTGATAAAATTTTCTGACAGGCAGATAGGAGATTTACTATAATGCAGTGGCAACTAGTGGCTGTAGGAAACATGAAATGTAGAGATATGGAATAAGAACACAAATGAAGTGTAAAACAATTTAGATACTAAAAGAAGATAAACTGAGCAAATGAAGTGCAATATAATTTAGATATTAACAGAAGATATGAAATATACACAAATATCTGTAGATGCAATCAGAATGCAGATTAATATGCTGCATTGTTATGAATTGTGCATGGTTGTTTAAAGGTATTTTTAATAGTAGGATCATAGTAAACTAACTGAGCAATATGAGCATAATTAGAGTTCATAATTTTCTTGAAGGAGTTATGAGAACATACAAGAATATAATCTTGTGCTTGCAGAATTTCAAGATCTTGGTGGCGTCATTGATTTTGCACAAACCACACTGCGTTAGTAATTGCTTTCAGGTTTTTATTTTGAAATATTATGATTTTCTTCAGCGCTGTTGCCCACACGGGATGGCATGGAATAAAACAGGACAAATTAAAGTGATGTAATAAGTTTTTGATGTGTGAGTCTAAGTTTTATTTTCTTTCTATAAGACTATAAATTGCCATGTAAGTAGCATTGTCTTTGTTTATGGCATATATTACATGCTCTTTGAAATTTAGTTGTTTATCTAAAACAACTCCTAAATATTTTACGGAAGGTACAATCAGAAGAGTTTGATTACTTATCTTGAGATTTAGATTCACTTGTTGGTTCTTCTTGTAATATCTAAACAGGATGGCACTGCATTATGCATTAATCTGCATTAAGTTTAAATTCCCATAAGTCCCGCCAGTGTACAACTATATTCAGATTGAATTGTAAATTATCAATAGCATGGCTGGGCCTGATCGATTTCACCAGCAATATGCTTTGGATATATGAATGACTGAGAAGATGAAGTCTAAAATCACTGGCATGGTGGACTTTTCTCATCTCATCTAGCAGTCATGGAAGACAGCATTGCAGTTATGGAAAAGGTAATGTAGAATAAATGGTGCATCACAGGCACAAAGGTAGCTTAACAATTAATTGATCAACCCATCACATCATCCAAAAAATGTGTGCAAGATGAGCACATAAAGGCTTAATACCTGAAATAAAAGAAAATACATTACATTACTTTCTAAGAGTTTGTACATTGTTTCGAGGCTGACGTAAGGTATTTCTACTTTCTAATCAGCCTTCATCACTAGAGATGAATTTTAAATATGTTTCTGCTGGAAACCAATTCTGGGATGGCAATAAGGTGAGTCATTGATGTAAATATCTATGCATCCACCTGAAAGAATTCTAGTGCTTATTGAGCACTAATGTAAGTATATTAAATTTTAGTAAGGCATTTTAGTTTTGCATTTCTCTTTAACATTTTCTGTTAATAATTACTATTTATTTATTATTGCATTTCAACATTTTGAGAATGGGAAACATTTAAAAAAGGGAGAAGGAGGAATGCATTAAAAAAATTGTTTTGAAATTCCATTTTCCCTATTTTTTACATATATAAATTGAAATTTTTTGAATGGTTCATATTGAGCTGAGTACAGTTCAAAGTCCGAAATCTGGAATCATTAGGACTTCCATGTGCTCCAAATTCAGGAATTTTTTGGAAAATAAATAAATAAATATAAAATAAATAAATAAAAATCTACTTCCCCCCAAAAAAATAATCCCAGTATTTATTTCTTTGTTTTACTAAATATTTCTTTCAATGTTGGTTATTTAAACTTTTTTTCCCTCTTTTAATTTTATAGATAGCTATAATTGTTTGTTCAATTAAAATTTTCTACAAGACAAATTTTGTAATTTCAGTGTCAGAAATTCCAACTAAACTCTCAGTCGAAATCTTTTAATTCTAAAAAACTTCTTTGTCACTTTTTCCACTATTGGTAGCAATAATTTCTGGATTCAAAACTATATTACAGATCTTGCCATTTATTAATTAATTGGTTGATGATTGAGGTATTGCCATTGCAAAGGACAACTTTTGTTATATCATCTTAATTTATTATTACTTCTCCACATTCCTTCACAAATTCCATTAATTGTTGAATTCTGTCTTTTGTTTGTGAGATCTGAAAACATTCAAATTTGGGGCTATCTTCATCATCATGAAATATAGTGGTTGACCATAAATTATGCCAAGCATTTAAAAAAAATATCTGCATGCATGTTCTTCCATGACCTTCTAGTGCTCCAACAGAATATTTTATGTTGAAATATCTGAAACATTCATAGATTAAAAAAAATTTCAGGGCACACAACATTCATATCTGTTGACTGAATGATGGATGTGCAATTTGGAGAAATGAATCAGACAGAGACTTTACCTTTTACTAAAACTTTAAGTGAAGTATGAGCCAAACAGTTGTGTATCACATCAATTTTTGCATCATCCAGTAATCAGCCACTAAAACTGCTTAGTATCCAAAATAAAGTAATTAATTTATTTCATTTCTTTTTACAAAGTTGACAGACATTTCCTTCCATTTAAAACCTGTTTCACTACTTTTACAATATTGTAAATATGGATTTTTGGCTTTTAGAAAATTTAGTAGCGACTCTCAAACTTTTCTGAATTCCATCTTGCAGCTCTTAATGATATGGAGTTCGGCCACCCTGATATAGAACATACATTTTACTATGTGAGCCTCTTTTTGTACATGCCCCTTTCAATATATATATATATAATAAAATAAAATAAAGTCAGACTTTAAATTTATGTAAATATCCCATTTATAAGAACTGAACTATTTACAGAAAATTCTTTATCTTAATTTGAGAATTATTAAATGTGCATGATCAGTATTTCAGGATCCACAGTTTTTTTTTTTTTTTAATCCATTATATAACAATGAAATCTGAAAATTGACAAAATGGTAAAAACTTTGAGTAAGAGTAAGCAAAAAGTAAGTCATCACTATCCCAGCTAACAGTCTACATGAGTGGTCTCAAACTAGTGGTCCATGGGTTGCATCCGACATCCAAAGACATTTTATATGGTGTGTGTACAGTGCTGATAGTTTTAGAGACTTAAAGATATGGAATAAACTTATGTGACAGATTGCTGTTGAAGGAAAAAGGGATGAAAAGAATACATTGGGGGTTTATATGCTTGCATGCCAGGCCAATAACTTAAGCAGCCATTTAAGTATCCTCAATAAAGATCTGCAAGCAAAGAATTAACGTGTATGCCTGTATTAAAATTTTAAGTTACATTTGTGGAAAACACAAATAAAATTAAAAAAATTCTGTACATTTTTTGTATTTTAAATCTTGACTCATAAATTCACATGCAAAATCTCAAGAATATGCAGCAAAAATAGTATTATTATGACAAGAATTTGGAGAAAAATTTAAAGATTTTAATTATTTGGAGTCAATTTTACATTATTTTTATTACCATTAAAAATGGCATGAGTAATGCACCAAAAAATCTGCAAATGAAGCTAATTATTTACAGTGATATA